CTCAATTTTTTCTTTATGTTTCTAACTATTGTTACAGATCCTGGTATGTTTTTTAAAGTCATTAATTTATGTTTATGTTATTAATTGTTGTTTTTGCGTACATGCTTAAAACTTTGTTGTTTATGTTTCTGCAAAATTATTGTTATAAAGTATTTGTTAGTACAGATTAAATAACAAACGTTAATTGACTATTCACGTAAGTTTTTGCTACTGGAGTTGTTGAAGGTACAATAAAAAAAATTCCTTAAAGATCTATACTACCATCTCTTGAAGACAAAATTTAAATTTGGTATGCCATTGTAAGCAGGGGAGGAGCTACAGTAGGATTAGGGTGTCCAAGCAGACACGCTTCGTTGAAAAATTACACCGTATATATAAGTAAAATGATCTTTTTAATGGTTAGATAATACATTTTGGACACCCTTGAATCAAAGAAGTTTTCTTGGCGCATTGGTTTTAGTTTCCCCGCGAAAGCTTAATGGCCAGCATGCACGTGGGTTCGATTCCCCGTTGCTGCACTTTTTATTACACTTAATTTATTAATATAATATTACCTATTAAATTAGAGACCTACAACTTAAAAATTTAAGAAAAAATAAAAGTTTAGTAGTCAATTGATTTTTTAATCAATCTGACTTTTTTTTTTCTTTTCATTAATTTTTTAATAAAATTTAAAAGTAATTATTTAATTTAAAGTTAATAAGTACATCCTACTTTTTTTTTTATAAAGCTACTAAAAGTGAAAAAGGCTCCGTATAAAATTTCTTTTTAAAAGAAAACTCGTTCGATTCTACTATTTATTTATCATGTCTCGTTGTTAGTCCTCAGAGATTCGTAAAATCCTGAAGCATAAAAGTGATTTCATTTTAACTGGATTTTTTTTTCTTTTCTTTATTCGTTCACTTCCTATTATATAAACATGAAAGTCAAAGCTAATTATTATGTAGTTTGATTTTATAATTTTTGGTATATTTTTTAATTAAAATAAATTATCGTTAATGTAACGTAGTTTGATTTACAAAATTTTAGTACACTCATGCGTTAAATTATTTGTATTCACCTATGCGATTTTTGGACACCCTAAGGACATAAAGACCTTAAAAACCTTATCGTACCTTGATGTGCAAAGTTAAGCAAGTAAAGAAGACAATAATTAATGAACTTTTGACATGGCTTCAATGATGTTGTGCCGAATGACTTATAGATGAATATGACTAGGTTGAAGTCTCTTTAATCCCAAAGACATAGATAACTACACAATAAAGTAATGACTCATATTCAATATGAAGTATGAATAGATTCTCAAGTTTAGTGCAAGTTGTAAATATTTTTCTTGAAGTAATAAATGTGTTTCTCGACACTACTATTGGAATAGAAGCGTATTTTCAAATTGAACTCTATCACTCTAGTGTGATGATTTTTAAAAGCACCCAAACAAACTAAATAGTTTTGTGTAATATATTTTCATTTCGAGTATATATAATAAGTTGAATTGTTGTCCAATATGATACATTCTCCCTTTAATTTTCCATTTTAATAATTTCTTATGATACATTTAAATGAGGATCTTTAAAATGATATATGTAAAGCAAAATAGAGGCTTAACTTTCTATACGTTAAAATTAAAATATTTGTTCACATTTTTCAGTCTTTTAAAAATTATTTATCCCTTCACCAACGATTATTTATTTATCAGAAAATTTAACATCTCAAGTTAATGTTCATTTGATTCCCCAAAAATATCAAATAGTAACACTTCCTGGAAGTAAAATGATACATTATAAAATCAAATTAAAGATGATTGATTGAAGCATAAAAATGTTATAATTACCATTTCCTTTACATTATTAATGTTACGTAATCTTATATGTAAGATAATATAATATTTTAGATTAATAACCAATAAATTTTAAGTAGGGTAATGCTAAATGGCCAGAAAAAATTGGCCAGAATTTGGCCAGAAAAGCAAAAAAGACTATAATATCCTTATTTTAATTTTTTGCATTTATTCCATCATACTTTTCCCTCCAAAACAAAAGTAACTTTTTTCTATTTCCCAAACTCCTTGAACTACTAAAATACAATTTTTTTGGCTACCAAGGGAAATAAAAGTGTTTTTGTGTATATTTATGTGTGTATAGTTCATTTGATTTATTTTTTTAAAAAATATTGTTCAGTTAATTAAAAAAATTGTAGTTTCGTTTTTATACATTAATAATTTAATTTCGGTTTTATACATTAATATAGTTTTCATTACTATACCATACAAATTATGTTCTACATACATA